ACGGAAATAATTTTATGGTTGGGGGGCACCACAACATGAGGAACTGTATTAAAGGGTCGCAGCATTAGGAAGGTTGAGAACCACTGCTTTAGACTGATCCATGTTGTTGCACAGGGCAAAATTTTATTCTTTTTTATGGCCAAGTAACATTCCATTGTATATATGTACCACTTCTTCTTTATCCCCTCATCTATCGATGGACACTTAGGTTGCTTCCACAGCTTGGCTACTGTAGATAAAACTGCAGTGAACATAGGGGTGCACGTATCTTTCCGAAGTAGTGTCCTGTATTTCTTTGGATAAATACCCAGAAGTGGCCTCATCGTGGCTTTTTCTTTCCATCCTTAGTTATAGGACTTCTGTTCAGCTGGTCTTCAGATGGGTCTCGGTGATGGTTGTTCCATAATTTAGTTGTAATTTTGATGTGGCTGTGGGAGGACGGGGACATAGCATTTACCTACTCTTCCATCTTGACTGGAATACGTTTTTTATTTTTATTTTGTGTGTGGTTTTACTTACTTTTATTTTTTATTATTAAGTTTATCAGCGTAATATTGGTTAACAACATTATATAATTTTCAGGTGTACGAGATTATAATTTGATATTTGTGTGCTCAACGCCCAAAGTCTAGTTTCCTTCTGTTCCCCTATATCTGACCCCCTTCACTCACTTGGCCCTTCCCCCTCCCTCTCCCTCCTCTGGTCACCACCATTCTGTTGTCTGTATCTATGAGTTTGTTTTTATTTATTTTGCGAGTTCTTATTTTACTTTTTATTTTATTTTTAAATTATTTTTATTGTTTAAAGTGTTACAGATGTCCCCCTTTTTTCCCCATTGACCCTTCGTCCTCCCCACTTCCATCCCCTCCCCAGGCCTTCACCCCACTATTGTCTGAGTCCATGGGTTATGCATATGTGCATAGAAGCATAGAAGTTCTTTGGTTGATCTCTTCCCTCCCACCCCTCCGTCCCCTTATTTTACTTTTTGTTTTATATTCCACATATGAGTGAAATCATAGGTGGTTTTTTTGGTCCTTTTCTGTCTGACTTATTTCACTTAGCATAATCTTGAGAGAATTATGCAAAGTTTTCATTTTTAATACAATAATGCAGCATCCTGAAGATTCCAAGCTTTATTCAGAGATTTGTCCTTGCTGATGAAAGAGATTGTGCACACTGATAACACTGGTTATTTCCTTTATGTCAACTGTGGCTGCAGTGAAGTCATTAAAAACAGAAGCTGAAAGCAGAACACGGCCCAGGCTTTCTGGCCGAGTTTCCATGCCTGCGTCGCAGTGGACCAGTGGTTTTACTTAAGGAAACCCCAGCTCTGAGATGGAAGAGAATTTCCTCCCTTTAGAAAACATAACTCTTTTTTTTTTTAAATCCTCACTTGAGGTTATTGTTTCCATTGCTTTTTAGAGAGAGTGAATGGGAGAGGGGGAGAGAGGAACATCGATGTGAGAGAGACATATCAATTGGTTGTCAGGGATCAAACCTGCAACCCAGGTACATGCCCTTGACCAGGAATTGAACCCACGACCCTTTGGTACGAGGGTTGACACTCTAACCCAGTGGGAAACACTGTCCCAGGCCATAACGAGCAGAGAATTAAGGCCTGGGCCCGGGTGTGTGCATTTATATGTGAGAACAGGGGAGCAGAGAATTAAGGCCTGGGCCCGGGTGTGTGCATTTATATGTGAGAACAGGGGAGCAGAGAATTAAGGCCTAGGCCCGGGTGTGTGCATTTATATGTGAGAACAGGGGAGCAGAGAATTAAGGCCTAGGCCCGGGTGTGTGCATTTATATGTGAGAACAGGGGAGCAGAGAATTAAGGCCTAGGCCCGGGTGTGTGCATTTATATGTGAGAACAGGGGAGCAGAGAATTAAGGCCTAGGCCCGGGTGTGTGCATTTATATGTGAGAACAGGGGAGCAGAGAATTAAGGCCTAGGCCCGGGTGTGTGCATTTATATGTGAGAACAGGGGAGCAGAGAATTAAGGCCTAGGCCCGGGTGTGTGCATTTATATGTGAGAACAGGGGAGCAGAGAATTAAGGCCTAGGCCCGGGTGTGTGCATTTATATGTGAGAACAGGGGAGCAGAGAATTAAGGCCTAGGCCCGGGTGTGTGCATTTATATGTGAGAACAGGGGAGCAGAGAATTAAGGCCTAGGCCCGGGTGTGTGCATTTATATGTGAGAACAGGGGAGCAGAGAATTAAGGCCTAGGCCCGGGTGTGTGCATTTATATGTGAGAACAGGGGAGCAGAGAATTAAGGCCTAGGCCCGGGTGTGTGCATTTATATGTGAGAACAGGGGAGCAGAGAATTAAGGCCTAGGCCCGGGTGTGTGCATTTATATGTGAGAACAGGGGAGCAGAGAATTAAGGCCTAGGCCCGGGTGTGTGCATTTATATGTGAGAACAGGGGAGCAGAGAATTAAGGCCTAGGCCCGGGTGTGTGCATTTATATGTGAGAACAGGGGAGCAGAGAATTAAGGCCTAGGCCCGGGTGTGTGCATTTATATGTGAGAACAGGGGAGCAGAGAATTAAGGCCTAGGCCCGGGTGTGTGCATTTATATGTGAGAACAGGGGAGCAGAGAATTAAGGCCTAGGCCCGGGTGTGTGCATTTATATGTGAGAACAGGGGAGCAGAGAATTAAGGCCTAGGCCCGGGTGTGTGCATTTATATGTGAGAACAGGGGAGCAGAGAATTAAGGCCTAGGCCCGGGTGTGTGCATTTATATGTGAGAACAGGGGAGCAGAGAATTAAGGCCTAGGCCCGGGTGTGTGCGTTCATATGTGAGAACAGGGGAGCAGAGAATGAAGGCCCGGGTGTGTGCATTTATATATGAGAACAGGGGAGCAGAGGGCGAAGGCTCGGGTGTGTGACCGGCTTTGCTTCTGTTGACAGTGTGAAGCAGCATGAGCGCTACGGCCAGCTGACCCTGGTCAACTCCACCGCGGCCGACACCGGCGAGTTCAGCTGCTGGGGGCAGCTCTGCACCGGCTACATCTGCACGAAGGACGAGACCAAAACCGGCTCCACATACATCTTTTTTACAGGTAAAAGGTTTGTTGCCTCAGTGGACTCTTCCAACATCTGGACTTGCCCAGGGTAAAGGTTCCACTGTGTGCTGAATATCAGTAATGACAGTCAGAGCCCCCGCTGTCTGTCAGGCCCTGGGCTCAATGCTTTCCATCAATTAGTTCAGGTAAGTCTCTCACCAGCCCTTCAGGGTGAGTACTAACATCATTTCCACTTCTTTTTCCCAATGGAAAAGTTGAGGTTTAGAGAGATTAAGTAAGTCCTTAAGGTCACACTACAAGGAATGCCTGTTATCAGAATTTGAACCCAGGACAGTCTGACTCCAGAGTTTGTACCTACATTGTCCAATATGGTAGCCACTGGACACCTGGGGCTATTTACATTTAAGTGGGAATTAAAATTAAACAAAATTTAAAACTCGGTTTCTCCGTGGCCCTTACATGTTTCAAGGGCACCATTGCCACATGTGGCGGCTGGTGGCTGTCCTAGTTGACACGTGACAGAGAACAGCTCCATCATTGCAGAAAGCCCGGCTGTTGACTTTGAGTCACGTGCTCTCATATCTGTGATGGTCTTTCTGGAACCTCCACAGTCCTAGGATGCCTGGCCAAAGGCCTCCTTGTGTTTGTTCTCGTGAGTGCTGAGAGCTGAGGGTTGAGGGGCTGGGTTCCCAGAGGTGGTGGTCCTTGAGTCTCCAGCCCCAGTCCCTGAGCCTGAGCAAGGTGCCTGAGAAGGCGCAGGTCAGAGTGAACTCTCCTCTCCTGTAGTGCTAGGTATGGCTTTGCCGGTGGAATTGCACTCAGAGAAAAGGCATTGCAGAGGAGGTTGCAGCCCCCTCCCTCTTGGAGGAGGAGGATGGCGTTCTCCAGGGCCCAGCGGTCAGGGTTTTCAGGGCCTTACAGAGGCCACCCCCTGGTGAAGTCAGAATTCTTCCCTTTTTTAAAAAATTGATTTCAGAGAGGAAGGAAGAGGGAGAGAGAGATAGAAACATCAGTGAGAATCATTGATCGACTGCCTCCTGCCTGCCCCACACTGGGGATCGAGCCTGCAACCCGGGCTCGTGCCCTGACCAGGAATCGAACCGTGACCTCCTAGTTCATAGGTGGACGCTCAACCACTGAGCCATGCCAGCTGGGCCAGAATTCTTTCTTAGTGTCGTAGGCAGGCACTTTCAGGAGATTTGTCCACTTCCTGAATCCATCTGCCTTTCAGACCTTCGTGATTTCGGCCTATGACTCAAATGACCTGATGCCCTGGCCATTAATGAGTGCTTCAACAAAACCTCCCATATAACCCCTTCCCGTCCAGAGAGCACCTCTCTGGCCAGCGCTTCTCATGGCCCTGGAGGCCCGTGGATCTCATTTCACTTCCAAATGCCCCCGGGAACTGAGTAGAAACTGGTTTATTATCTCTGTCTGAGAAATAATGACGCTGACGCTGAGACTCAGAGGGCGAGGTGACCCGCTCGGTGTTTCATGGCTTACAGCGGCAGAGTAAAGAGTCCAGCCCTGCTTTTCTGACCCAGGATCCAATGTTCTTACTGCCCTGGCCCGTTTTGAAGACCAGGTGGTGGATTGATGGGCAGACAGACAGGCACTAGCTAGCATAACTGGTGGTGTCAGGAGAACTGCTCGCAGTTGTTCACAGGTAATCCCTTCTGATCCTCATTCTGGAATGTGCCACGCAGAAAGCCCACGTGCCTTAGTGTTATACCGCCCTGGGAAGCCACAGTGGAAAAGGCAACTAAGACTAATCAGGGCCTGTTGTTTGGATGAGGACTGATAGCCTATTTCAAATGACAGAATGAGGACTTTTCTGTCAGGGTTAGCCCTGTTGTGTCTTCCCAAAACATTGGTTTTTGAACTGAGATTTTTGAACTGAAGACCTCCCTTGAGCAAAATGTCCTATTAGGGTCCTGGGCTCTGAGTTTTAGAGGCAGGTCTTCTCCCTCAATTCAGGGAAGCCCCTTTGTGAATCAAAGGAACACCCCCAACTTAATATTTATTTCAACATAAATATTACGTTGAGCATCGACCTATGAACCAGGAGGTCACAGTTCGATTCCTGGTCAGGGCACATGCCCGGGTTGCGGGCTCAATCCCCAGTAGGGGGCGTGTAGGAGGCAGCCAATCAATGATTCTCTCTCGTCATTGATGTTTCTCTCTCTCTGCCCCTCTCCCTTCCTCTCTGAAATCAATCAAAAGTGTATGTGTGGGGATTGAGGGGTGTGTGTGTGGGGGGGGACCAATGTGTTGTAGCATTTTCTCATTCCTCAACACAAGTGAAGAGTCCAGCTGGATTTTCAGTGTAGGGTTTAGCAGTTTGTCTTCTCAGGCCTGGGTGAATCTGCAAAACCAGGACGGGCTGTGATGAGAGCTGAGCGTTCCGCGGCTGGCGCTGGCTCCCTTCAGAACATATGCTTCCCCTCTGCCCACACAGAGAAACGTCTGGCATTCATTATGTTCGCCTGTTCCCTGGAGCTCGATTGCAAACACTGTGAAGCTTCCTTTTGATTGTTGGTCATTTGTGCGATTTTTGTGTGAATTTGTGCGACTGTCACATATTATATTTAATCTTATCCAGGAGGCACTCATGCGTTTTTCCCCCCTCTCTAACTTTTTATTGAAGTATAACAGAGGAAAGTACACACATCATAGCTATACAGCTCAAATAAATCACCCTCAAGCCACACGGAACTGCCACCAGATCAAGAAGGAGAACATGACTGACAATAGGCCTTTCTCGTGGCAAAGGGCTTGGGCTCCAGTCTTCACATGCAGTCAAACCACACTAAGGGGCATTGTATGGAGTTGTAATCATTTGGATTTTAGCTTATAGCCTATGAAGTAATTATTTTGGAAATCTAAATTTTCATGTGTTTAGTTTTCTTAAAGTAATATTTTTTTATTGATTTTTTACAGATAGGAAGGGAGAGGGATAGAGAGTTAGAAACATCGATGAGAGAGAAACATCGATCAGCTGCCTCCTGCACACTCCCCACTGGGGATGTGCCCGCAACCAAGGTACATGCCCTTGACTGGAATCGAACCTGGGACCCTTGAGTCCGCAGGCCGACGCTCTATCCACTGAGCCAAACCAGTTAGGGCATAAAGTAATATTTTTTATCTGCTCAAGTAGATGCAAACATATTTGCAAGGGGCATATGTCATCTACAATTCTTTGAACTTTAACATACTTTTTTGGGTAGATGGAATGTACTGATTATAAGTGAAATTTTTTTCTGTTTGTTAAAGCAACCGGTGTGGTCACTTCTTTTCAAAGCATGTCCAAGTAAGACCACATTTTTGTGTTGTGGAATTCTGATTGTTATCCTACTGGCTTTGCTCACTGGTTCCATTTTCTCTACAAAACCTTAAAACAGAAGGTGCTTCTAAACCTTGCAGTCATAAACTTCTTAACTGTTTTGGCCAAAAAGATATCTTGAGTACTGTCCACTCTGGATTCTTCTCTTTACAATGGGGATGACATATCCAAGGCCACGCAGATTTGCTCTTTGTGAATACAGGACTGTTAGGTGCCCCTTGCCTACGCCTGAAAGCCAGTTTCTCATGAAGTGGCATGAACCACCCAGGCTGACATAAAGCCTAGAAAAGACAGGGCCTCTCTGAGTCACGGCGTACTCTTCCTTGACCTTAGCCAGAGCCAGGGGGAAGGACCTCCATGTTAGTTAAGTTGCACCCATTGCAAAGAAGTCTTGGCTCATGAAGACATTTGATGATATATCCAGAAATTCTGTCCCTGACCTAACACATCACATGGACTGTCGCACAAAGAAGGGTAGTGGAGGAGAGAGCCAAGAATAATTGGTTGTTTCAGGAGCATTGCAGGAAAAACATGGGAAACAATTGAACAAGTGTTGGGGTGTAATTAAGTTAAATGACTTCTCTTAATTACGATAATATCCTCTCATAGTATAGAAAACAAAAGATTTAACGTGCCATGCCGAAAACAAACAAAAAATAAACCTCAACTCAGAGTCCTCTGTACTAAGGAAAGGCGGGGCATACCAGTCCTCATTTCTGTAAGATAAAAATGCCATTTTCTCCTCATTTCTGTAAGATAAAAATGCCGTTTTCTGTGCTTAAAACTTCAGAGGGAACAGGGGTATAAGAAACTGGCTGGAGGTCCCCAGCCCTGAGGCAGCCAAGCTGAGCTCAGAACATGAGGTTAGCGGTAGCAGGTTCCTCATCTGTCTCTTCTCCATTCCCTCTCCGTGGGCCTTGGCAGGAATGAGGTGCACTGGGCTGGATTCTCGGGGGAGCTCTGCTGTGCTGGGATCCGCCCCAACAGCACTTCCTGAGCAGGTCACGGGGCTAATTTCTCCAGAGAGACAGCGGATTGTTTCCAGGTCTTAAGGCTGCTCTGGTCGTATGGACGTCAGTCTCCTCCCCTGCTTCCTCAGGGAGTAACCCATGGGCCTGAGTTGGGCTTGAACTAAGACCTATTTTATTTCCCTTAAGGAGATGGGAAATAATAGCATCCTTTTTCAGAAAGAGGAAAATTATTTAAAAATAGCTTTTTCTACTTATAAGGACTCTGTATTCTGAGTATATTGTCAGTCTCCTCTCATTTTTTTTTAAAAATATATTTTATTGATTTTTTACAGAGAGGAAGGGAGAGTGATAGAGAGTTAGAAACATCGATGAGAGAGAAACATCGACCAGCTGCCTCTTTCCCTTAAGGAGATGGGAAATAATAGCATCCTTTTTCAGAAAGAGGAAAATTATTTAAAAATAGCTTTTTCTACTCATGAGGACTCAGTATTCTGAGTATATTGTCTGTCTCCTCTCATTTTTGTGCCCTGGAGTCGTGAATCCATAAAGTGTTCTTTACCTTGCTCCTCCAGAACAAGTAAGCCCGTGTCTCTTGCTTTGCAGAGAAAGGAGAACTCTTTGTACCTTCTCCCAGTTACTTTGATGTTGTCTACCTGAACCCGGACAGACAGGCTGTGGTTCCTTGTCGAGTGACCGTCCTGTCAGCCAAAGTCACGCTCCACAGGGAGTTCCCGGCCAAGGAAATCCCGGCCAATGGAACAGACATTGTTTATGACATGAAGAGAGGCTTTGTATACCTGCAACCTCATTCTGACCACCAGGGGGTGGTCTACTGCAAGGCGGAGGCCGGGGGCAAGTCGCAGATCTCTGTCAAGTATCAACTCCTCTACGCAGAAGGTAAGGGTGTTTCCTACCAGTGCCTAGATTTCAGTGGCTTCCAGCTGGTTAGTAGCAGGCACTGCTGTTCCTGAGTATGGATGGAAATTAGGAGGCACAGAATGCTGTTCTTAATGGCTCCTTTATTGCACCACTATTTCTAGAATGTTCTACTAGTGCTTCCTTGTCTGTGACCATGACCTTCAGATGAACCCCTGGCAGACCTTTTAGCCTCCTCCCCTAATCACAAGGGAAATGGCTGGGCCTGGGGAGTTCTGGGTGCTGACCCCATTCGGACCACCAAGGTAGAGAAAGAGGAGGCTTCGAAGAATCCGAAAGTGGTGGGGTGGAGGCGGCCTGGTGCTCACTGGGCGAGGCGGAAATGTGACCCATCCGTCCAAAGAAAAGAATGTGCCTGTAGGTTTGTCTTCAGTGTTGCACTTATGAATTCCATCTCACTTTCCCTGTCTCCTACTTAATACAGTTCCCAGTGGCCCTCCCTCCACAACCATCCTGGCATCTTCAAACAGAGTCAACAGTGGGGACGACATCAGTGTCCTCTGCACTGTCCTCGGGGAGCCTGACGTCGAGGTGGAGTTCAGGTGGATCTACCCAGGCCAGAAGGTAAGACCTTACCCTCACTCAGCCAGTTGTTCAAGTTTAGGTTTGTCTCTCTCTCCCCCACCTGCCACTGATAAAGACCTTAACGTACGAGGTGCAAGAAATGTGTGGGACTAAGGTAGGTGCCAGGGCTTGCTGGTTGTCCTCTGAGACAGCGGTCGCCAACCTTTCGGACCTCACGGGCCACTAATGGTCCACGGACCACCAGTTGGCGACCACTGTTCTAAGATGTTTCAGTATATTTACAAATGGCTTTTTTTCTTAATAGAAAAGGTGACTGGGTTCCATCAGGTAATTCACTCAGTGTACCCTCTTCACATGTGATTTATCTTCATAATTCTTTTTAAATATATTTTTTATCAATTTTTGAGGAGAGGGCAAGAGAGATAGAAACATCAATGATGAGAGAGAATCATTGATTGGTTGCCTCCTGCACAACCCACACGGGGGATCGAGCCCATAACCCAGGCATGTGCCTGGCCTGGAATTGAACCGTGACCTCCTCGTTCATAGGTTGATGCTGGGCATGTGCCTGGCCTGGAATTGAACCGTGACCTGCTCGTTCATAGGTTGATGCTCAACCACCAAGCCACGCCAGCTGGGCTGATCTTCATAATCCTTAAATAAGAAGGAACAGGGGCTTGAAAGGGACAGGAGGGGCCTCCTTCTTTCTCCACCCCAACCTCAACCTTCAGTCTGAATTCTGAGTCAATTAGAGGCCAATCTAACTTCCTTCTGGTGCCTTTCTGTCTTGCACACAAGCTGTACCCGTGGTGAGGAGCTCTGAGCAGACATCCACAGGCCCTGTCCAAAAGGTGCCATGAGGCCAGAGATCTTTTTAAAATAGATTTCCCATAAAAGCAACTCCAGCTTATTATTTAGCCTCCGTGCGTGCTCTGCTCACTAATAGAAACAGCTCTGCTACCAACATGGAACGATCCCTTTGTTGCCAGAAGAGATTTGGCCTCTTGAGATGTACTCAGTAGCCAATACCCTTCTGGCTCTATGGGCTGTGATTGGTGGAAAATAATTATCCCCGGAGAATGGTATTTTCCGGGCTCTGGTACCTTACTTGCTTTTACACAGTTGTCACAATTAGAAAACATGAATGGTTTTCAATAGAGATTTCTTTTGCATTGCTAATTATTATTTTATGAGCAGAAGGGGGATTAATGGAGTTACACTATATTACAGTTGTTAAGCTAATCCAGAAAATACTACGTTCTTATCACCGGATTTGGATGAAGCCTCTCAAAGGTGTCCATCTGACCTTCTGGAATAGGGAGTTACGTCATTTAGGGCGTCACATTATCCATTCCTGGTAGAACTTTTCTCCCACATTTGACATCATCCCTCTCTTTCTTCCAAATCTGAACAATTGGGAGCTTTTATTCACTTGCATGGGGAGTGCTCTGGGCTCTTTTTGACCAGAAAGTCTGTAAATAAGAACCAGTGAGTGAGAGGGTGAACGTGGGCAATGTAGAGAAGTGTGGAAAATTTTATCTACGTCTTTTTGAGTAATACAAGGTGTACCTCCTTGGAGTTCCAAAAGAATCAATCTTATATTCAGTAGAAATTTACTAAAGAGCCCAGGCGGCATGGTTGAGTGTCTGTCTATGAACCAGGAAGTCATGGTTTGATTCCCGGTCAGGGCACATGCCCTGGTTGTGGGCTCGATCCCCAGCGTGGGGTGTGCAGGAGGCAGCTGATCAGTGATTCTCTCTCATCATTGATGTTTCTACATCTCTTTCCCTTTCCCCTCCTTTCTGAAATAAATGCAATATATTTTTTAAAAATTTACTAAAGAAAAGGGCAGAGAGAGTCCAACAGTGTAATGAAATCCCAGACTGTGCTTTGAAAAACATGCCGCTGAAAATGCTTACACAGTGCGGAAGCACCCGTGGGCCTCGCAGACCAGTGTTTTCTGAGCATGGCTCCGTGTTGAGTGGCTGGGACCTGTTTATAGCCACGTGTCCTCCTTGCTTCATCCCTGCGGGTGTCATTACACAGGATGAAAGGCCCGTGACGATCCAGGACACCTGGAGGCTGATCCACAGAGGCCTGGGCCACACCACCAGGATCTCCCAGAGCGTCGTGACGGTGGAAGACTTTGAGACCATTGACGCGGGATATTACATTTGCACGGCCCAGAATCTCCAAGGACAGACCACAGTAGCTACCACTGTTGAGTTTTCCTGACTTGGAAAACGCAGTGCAATGGACTGACGGGAAGCCCACGTGCGCACACCACCAGCTCGGGCGTCCTTGTGACTCGGGCTTTGCCAGAGGCTGATGTCCAGCGCCAAACCCCAGTCCCTGCCTCGTGAGTAAGACCCAGACATCCAAACACACAGGAAGTCGCCCGGTCTAATAATAGACGTGTTAACTCCTCGGACAGAAAGCATGTCTTCTGATTGCTTACCTACGTATATGCGTTTCTGGTTTTTATACTTAGAGAGCATATATGTGAACAACTCTATATAATCATCTCTATTAAATGATCAAGTTTTTGTAAAATAAATTTAAAACTGGCCTAAGTGCTCGTGTTTTAGGTTGGCAGAAGGACTTGTTGGTAGTGATGTTTGGGTTAACCTTAATTTCCATTTGATTTTAATCGCAATACGTGAGCATCTAAAAAATGTAGTAACTATATATGGACTATGATATGAAAGTATCCAAAAAAAATCATAGAAACTTGCTTTTTATTAAAAATAAAAAAGGCTGCACTCAGAAGTAACTAGTTCTAGATTAGTACATTCAGAAAGATTTACAGCATGTGTGTTTAAAAGTTTAATTTTCAATATAAAATAGGTATGCTGATCAAGGAAAATTCAACTTCATTTAGACCTTTTGTAGCATCTGCAAAAAAAAATATTTAGACCATAGTTTTCTCACCTTAAAGAGCAGAAATTGTTAAAACCAGTCAAAAGTTATTCCTCCAAAACACACAGCTTTGAATTTAGAAAAGAGAAGCTTCATTCTGAGCTTAGCTCTGTGAGCCAAATTTCAGCCCATGGCCTGTTTTGTGGTTGCGTTGGAAATTCCTGGGAAATGGCTGAGGAGGCGGCGCAGCGTCGACGCCTGGGCTGTGAGAAGGGCTGTGAGCTGGGCAGCCCCTGGGAGAGAGAAGGATGTCACAGGTTGCACTTCTTATATTAAATATTCCAGCATTGTTTATTTAATCAAGGTAAAAATACACTTTGCATCATTATAAACTGAGCACAATTACAGTTTTTACACATCCGTATACGGTACGACGTGCCGACATTGTACATCCTACATGAAACATTTGGTTTGAAAACAATCTTCAGGTTCTCCGTGTTGTTTCCTACCTTCCCTCCAGTTGTCTCTGAAGACACTTTATACTAACTGTGTAAGATTGATTTCCCCGGACACCTAAAGGGTATGGAGGAGAGCAGGGATCAGCACAAGATTTACCATGCGCGGGCACGGATGTCAAATCCAACTTCGGCTAATGACACTGAGCACAACTGGAAAGGGTAAGCAGAGAGAGATCTCGGAAGGTGGCAGTGGGCCTATTCCCGTTCATCAGAAGCACACACGGAAGGTAACATACACACTACACTAGTGAAGCTTAGACTTCAGACACAATCACTAATAATTAAAAAGAAAACACCATGCATCATGAATATTAATTTGTTATGTAATGTACATGTAATGATGACTCACAGACCCCCCTCTAGTATCCTGAATCTGTTCTTACCATGGGGGCTATTGGTACAGCCATCAAACCTCAGCGATGCAGATTAGTAAATACTGACATCACCATATTGACACATGCAGGGGGGGGCGGGGGAAAGCCACAGTGCTTCCTCCACCCTCCCCCAAAGTGTGAGAACTAGGGGAGGTAATAAGTGAAGTTTGGAAGAGAAACTGAAATGCAACCTGGAGGAGAGTCCTACGAGTAGGAAAAGCCACATTTTCTACTCGGAAGCTGGCCATTCTACCTCCCCAAAGACAGAAGGGTTCCTCAAAGGGTACATGGGAACTTGGCGTTATCTTTTATGAAATGCTGCATCGTTGGTTTCATCAAGGTACTCCTGTTCATCGATAAACACGAGCCAATGACTCTCTCGTTCTTTATTCCTTCTAGGGTTTCCCAAAACTTGTACTCTCAGGTCCAGGCTGTGGCTTATTTGGAGCATGGTGTCAGCACCTTGAGGATGAGCTGGCTCTGGAAAAGCATATGCCACTATCCTTGTCCCAGAGAACAATAGGAAGGAGGTAGGAGGGTTGCCTTTGTGGCTCTGGCTGGGGAAGGAAGGAAAGGGAGGAGGCGAGGATCAGGGGAAAAGACAATAGTTGACATCAGTGAGGACAGCTTAGGTCACGGTAAACGGGTAAACGTAAGGCAGGAGCAATCCACTGCTGCCGCCCCTTTTCTTTATACGGAATTTTAGAAAAATTTGGGTTTTACATTTGCTCGTAGCCTGAGAAAATGGATCGTAGTAAAATGTTAGGTTCACATGGGAACGTTAAAAGTCTACAGAAAAAAAACACAAACTTGTTAGTTTTAACCGACATGGCTGAACACTGAAAGAATGCCAAGAAACTTCCAAAGGATACAGACACTGCACAGACACGGACCAGTCGGAACGCTTCCTGTCACTCCCCACCCCACCCCGTGTCAAAGGGCGGAGCGGAGTGGGTGGCAGAGAGCGTCATCATTCAAGCAACGATTGCTCTTCCTTCTATGGCTTTTTGCAGAGATGCATACACTGACTTAGCTGATTAGTACAGACCCAGAAATACGCAGCTTTTGACTTGCAGAACACAGCAAAGGAGGCAGCATCAGACACAGGACACTCGCTACATCCCTTTTATTCACACATCCCCCAAATAAAAATCACAAGAAGGTGCCTGTGGCAAAGAACATTATAAAGGTTATAAATCTTTATCTTAAGAGGCCCCTGAGAGTTTTTCCCCTTATGCTTACGTGGAAAAGGCAATGTTCTTTAAGTGCTTTGTGCAAATGTCCGTGCAGATCGATTCCGAAATCCTTTGGGGAGGAGTCCCTTGGCCAGAGAGCCACGTGTTCCTCCTGAGCTCCGGTCTCGCAGGGAGCCGATGCAGGGGGTCAAGACTTTCCAGTTCTAGGGCGGTAACGACACGTCGGCCCATGTGGCTCTTGATCCCTGGACCACGGTGAGGGTCAGCCCTGCGGACCTGTGACGGTGCTCTCAGACAGTCTCCCGCGTGCAGAAGCGTCATCTGGGCGACACGCTGGGGCTGGGGAAGGAGCCGGAATTGCGGGGCGACTGGAAAGGGATGGCGGGGGATGTGGGGGACCTGTCAGAGCCGCACAGGTCCCCGTTGTGTAGCTTCCACAGCAGCTCCTCGTTCTCCATGGACAGGCGCTTGTTGACTTTCGACTCCTTCTCCAGCCACTCCTGCAGGGTGGCCTGCTCGTTGGACAGTTGCCTTAAAGACAAAAAAAGGAGCCAGAAACCACATGGGTCTTTATTTTTATTGATTTCAGAGAGGAAGGGAGAGAGAAAGAAATATCAATGATGAGAGTCATTGATCGGCTGCCTCCTGCACGCCCCCTACGGGGGATCAGCTTGCAACCCAGGCATGTGCCCTGACCAGGACTCGAACCATGACCTCCTGACTCATAGGTCAACGCTCAACCACTGAGCCACACCCAGCTGAGCATGGATCTGAATTTCTAAAAAATGTACTTGAAAAAAAATGTTCTTGCCTTTTTAAATTTGAGAGTCCAGAAAAATGACCCCTTTGAAATAATAAAAGGCAGTCCTGCCCAGGGCTACTGGGCATGGGTATTGGCTGCCTAAGAAACCCAGGAAGTGGGAGCCAAAGAGAAAGCTGCTCTTTGGGGCCAATGTCACAGGAGGCTCCGTGACGCTCCCACAGATCATCTGAATGTCACGTGATTGTCCTGTGTGGGGCGGTTCCCCATTGGGTCCTGTGATGTTCTCTCTCTGAAGGCATCTCAGCATCACTAAGCCAGGGGCTCTGGGGGGAGGCTGGCCTGCTTAGGTCTCAGCGCCCAGCCCAGGCCCCCACAGTCAGGCCATGAAGTGCCACCATCACGCTTCCCAGGTAGAAACCAGCACCTGCTCCACCACCCTCTGCAATCCCGCTCCCAGGAGGCGCCTGGGCGGGTGTGAGGTCCAGTGGCACTAAACGTAGGAGGAGGAGATGGGAAAAACTGGACTGTTTTCTCTTTACCTTGAAATTGCAATGTGTTTGTCTATCCGAGCTTTTAACTCCTCGTTCTCCTGCTGACATCGCTTCAGTTTGTCGACCAGCGCTGTGTTGTTGTCCTCCTGGGGGCGAACAAGCATGCCAACGGTTAGACATCAAAAACAGGGAAACAAAGCCCTCATTTCCTACGGCACGTTCCTGCCACCAGCACACACTGGAGAGATCCAATTGAGGCAAGTTTAAATATAGTGAAATACCTATCCACAGACACATTGCAAAATAGAATCTGCAGCAGCAAAGCAGAGCATCTAGGTCAAGCATGTCAAACTCCCGGCTGGCGGGAGTTATAAATGAGGCATGCGGCCCACCGGCCCCGAGTTTGACATGCTTGATCTAGGGGGTTTTTTTGTTGTTGTTGTTTTTAAATGTGTTGTCAGATTTCAAGAACCACTTGAACAATGAACACAAGGGGGTGACTGAGTTAGTCTATGTCACGCCGTTTTAGAGGTTCCTCCCAACCCCTCCAAGCACTGGGGTCCTGACCTGGGCAACCATGGGGCCGTGCCTCTTGGGTTCAAGGTGGTAAAACAAAAGCAGCAGCCAGACATAGGCCGGCATTTATCAAGGGCACCAACCCTTCTAATGGTCTGTCTTGCAAAAAATACATTCCCACGTTTGATGAAAACTCTAAGGCCAACAGCAGGTCACCGCTCTGGGTGATGTTTGATGTGGCCTTAAACACGGTTTCCTCTTCAGCATCCATTTACCTCTCAGTGGCCCCACAAAGCAGCAATTTACAAAAAGAGCGTCCAATGAGAGAAACACCAGCACAGAGAGCCTCCCCGCTCAGTTGAGGTGAAGGCCCATTTGGCCTCCTTGCTGGCCTGCCCAGGCTCAATTTCAAGGAAGACACACATTGATCGGCTGGGAGGTTAAAGGATAAAATCCCAGAAGACATTTAACATGCTGGGGAGCTGATTACCTCCCAGAGCGCTTTCTAAAGGTAAGATTGTATTACTTGCTTAGGAGATGACATCACGGCTCTGTCACAGTTAATTCTAAGTCCCTGTCATTGTACCGTACGACGACTCTACTTTGACCGTGGCTCTGAGTGTGGGATCCTATTGTTCGTAACGTATCATACTATCCAGAAAATGCTCTGGACAAGTCAGTCAAATGAAATACCGTCCTACAAAACGAGACTAGAATGTCAGAAAAGGGGGCCTCGGAACATCAGTTCTCTGTCCGAGAGCCACAAACCAAGTTCCACTCACAGCCTCCATAGTGCGTGCTATTTATCCCATGGGTTCATTTTACTAAAGCACAGTTTTGAGCCCATTCTAATTCACAAGAAGCTCGACGAAGAACTTCGGTAGCCAGATTCAACTGCTCCACTGTGACTAATTCCCATGTCTAGCTCTCTGGGGCACCCGAAACCTGCCCAGAGTAGGAGAAACATCAAAGTACTGATTGGACATGATTTGAAAACTCCTCCCACGCAGGGCAAGATGCACAGACCCCTGGAAGGGGAGCCAGTTCCGTAGGTGTGGGTTTCCCAAGGACCCCCTGCTGCTTTACCTGTTCCTTGTGGGGGCGGGGAGGGGGGGGAGTGTTGCCGAAGGCAGCAATGGCCAGCCTGGAGCAAGCACAGAAAGGGAAACGGAACCTCTTTCACCTCCCCTGGAAGGGGAGCCAGTTCCGTAGGTGTGGGTTTCCCAAGGACCCCCTGCTGCTTTACCTGTTCCTTGTGGGGGCGGGGAGGGGGGGGGAGTGTTGCCGAAGGCAGCAATGGCCAGCCTGGAGCAAGCACAGAAAGGGAAATGGAACCTCTTTTGCCTGAGCTATATTTCCAAATAGCTTCAGGAGCAGTTACAACAGCCCCCGGTTCTAGGTCACAGGTTCTAGGTCACAGCCGGGTTCCCGCTTCCCAGACGCCAGGCCCTTGGGGGAGGCGCCGACAGAAACGTACCAGCTTCTCCATTTTCATCAGCTTCACGTCCTGCTGGTGCAGCTTCTCGTTCTTGATCTCCAGCACGGCCTTCAGGCTCTCCAGCTCCTGCTCCAGGTACATGATCTGAGGGTTTTTCTGGGAAAGACATAGCAGGTCATGAAATGCAATCCCACATTCTTAATAAAAAAAATAAAAATCTCTGATTAGACAGGAATTAGACAAAGTGGCAGGAAGCTTCTACCTCCTTACCGTGGTTTCAAAGAAAAAAGGTGAAAGGACTGGTTAGGATAACGTTAACCTCAAAGTCGCCGGTTATAAGGATGACATAAAACATCTCATATCTGAAAACAAGCATTTCACGCACTTATCAGCAACTTAATGTGGAGAAGATACTGGCAGCACCAAGTGTTTTATCGGAAGTAGGAGCAAAAATATTGCTTAACAATAGAAAACAGAATTCTGACCAGAAACGGGGTGTCTCCAAGCCCACCACTGGTGTTTGGGGGGACGAAAGGGAATAAGAGTTCTCTCTCACCAAGGTCAGCACCTGCCCAGGAATGAAAAGACGGTGCATACGCAGGGCTCTCTGGAAAACCACAGGGATGATGGTACCGTCCTGCGTCTTTTGGGTTTTTAGTGTGATGGGACTGCGCTGGCCTGGCCGTCCTAGGGCAGGCGTGACGCCCTGTCATTTTATTTTGTGACACCCCAACACCGACCCGGCATATAGCACAGGTACTACCCAAAGTCTATCAAATAAACGCCACGTAAGGGGAGACGCCTTCTTAGAGCCCAACCCCAGGGGAGATGCCCCGACTCCTTGCTTTACTTACGGAAATTCAAGTGAACCGTCTAAAACGTATGACACAGATGGACAGTGGGAGACGCCCCCCTCCACCCCCCACCAGGGACTTCCTGAGCTCTGCTTCCAGCCTCAGGGCAGCAGGCTATGAACAGTAGTTGTCAAAACACAAGCAATAAACTTTTTTTTTCTCCAAAAAAAAGGAGCGAGGCAGGGGAGTGAGGGTACAAGCTACAAGAGCAAGTTGAGCTTACAAGAGAAAAAAGTTTTGTACTTTTCAAAAGGGAGGAGCAATCATACAAGGAAATACTGTTCGGCCAAGAAAAGGCATGAGGTCCCTATACCTGCTGTAACATGCACGGACGCCGAGAACGGACGCTCCGTGGAAGAAGCCAGATGCAGGAGGCCACAGACACGATTCCGCTTAAATGAAGAGGCAAAGCCACACAGACAGGAAGTAGCCTGGTGACTCCCTGGGGCTTTGTGGGGAGAGAGGGGCTGACTGCTAATGAGTACAAGGTTCTTTAGGGCTGATACAAATGTTCTGGAATTAGATACTGGGGACCAACACAACTCTGTGAATATACTAAAAACCACCGAATTGCACATTTTATAAGGTATATAAATTATATCTCAATATAGCAGTCAGTTAAAAAAAAAAAGTGAAGACTTCAAACAAACGCCTGCCCCTAAACTGATACTTTTCTTGTCTTCCTGTAGGTATTAGCTTAGACCACTTGCAATATATAGGGTATCCCCCCCAAATGTATACACCCTTTAACAGCTGGTAGCTGTTAAATGAAAATGAAATGTATTCTAATAAACACGACGTACACATTTGGGGAGGACACCCTGTCTACTGGGCTTCGTCTGCATGCCAGTGTTTAAGATTTTAAAAACACACCACTAAACACAGAAGCCGTTCAGCACAGTTTAAACAGCACAGCTCAAGAGCTGAGAGGGCTCCAGACGCTGCTGTTTCTCTGCTGCTGAACTTAACTCGACTTGAAAAGGCGGCTAAGGAGGAGAAGAACTCAGCAGTGATGCAGGATCACGCGACTTACTAAATTCGCTTTCTCTCTTGAGAGTCTTTTTTGTTCTTCTGATTTCAGCTTTTCATTTAAAGCCTCATTTTCACTCTTCAGATCAGTGATTTGTTTCTAAAACACAAATAATGAAATGTGGACATGAGTCGGCACGCCGACACCAGAAACACAGCAGAATGTGCGCAGAAACATACCCAAACCCACACACCTCAAAGCTCAAGAACTATTATTATTATTATTATTATTATTATTATTATTTGTATTGAGATGTACCCACCTCTAGGGATTCCTGCTTCTCAGAAAGCAAATCCTCAAGTGATTTCTTTTCTAATTCATGGCTTTTCTTGATTTCTGGAAAGAAGTGATATTTTTAATGTCCTATGAGGTCACTGTGTTCTGTAGTTGTTAAGCACATATTCTTAAGAGTTGGTGACAAACCAATATGGCTGCTGCCTCATATTTGTGCGATGTTTTCATATAAATCAACCTGTTCTCGGATCACCCCTGTGAGGCGAGAAAGGCACATAGTCCCCGTTTATTACTGCGATCACTGAGGCCCACAGGGGCCAGGAGCGCGTAGGGGACACAGAGCAGACTCTGAGGGACGGGCCTCGAACCCTGGCCTGCAGCCCCCCGCCCTGGAGCTCCTGTGTTCTCCATTTGCATGTCATGAACCAAACAGAAATCTAAACTTAAACCCATTTCTAGGAGGAAGGAAGGAAAACAATGTTTACTAAATGTCTACCCTGGGCCAGTCACTTTTACATGTTATCATCTGGGACTTCACACAACAACTCTGTTTTCTAAAATTTTTAAATATTTTTATTGACTTCAGAGAGAGGAAGGGAGAGAGAGAGAAAAACATCGATGATGCGAGAGAATCACTGATCGGCTGCCTCTTGCACGCCCCCTACTGGGAGTCGAGACTGCAACCTGAGCGTGTGCCCTGCTGGGAATTGAACTGTGACCTCCAGGTTCAGGGGTCAATTCTCAGCCAGTGAGCCACACCGGCCGGCTGTACTTCCTGATGAAAAAGGCCTTGGCTGAAGGTCACACAGCCAGTCCTTACCACCCATCCACACGCTGCTCTGTAGGATACAATGAGTTTAGTGTAACAACTTGGGCTACACGGCCAACTATGTTCTGAAAGAAACAGCTTCTTATTCTTTTCCTTCCACTTGGACCCTCCCAATCGTGGTGACATAATAAAGATTCTTCATTCAACAAGAGCCATCTCCCTTTTCACGGTGGTGTCGGTGTGTAGGTGTGCTGGTGAGCAAGAGTACTCAGCATGGACCCCATACCACAGCCAGGATATGAACTCACACCTCCATGTCCCAGAACTTAAGGTGGTCAAATACGACGTTCCTAAAGGGCCTTTAAGTTCTTTAAAAGCTTGCCTACTTCCTAAAATGCTGTCATTTATAACAAACTATTATTTGCACCCTTAGGGGAAAGGACATGGCTAACAATGAACAATGCAAAAACAAGCCAAAACACCCCAAACTGCATTCTCTGGAGGAGGAAGTGATGAATCATGTCCTCTTTAAAACATATCATGCCGTTCCATTAGATCTTATTCTATTTAAACTGAAAACAAGCAATCTTGCCTGAAAGGGAGGTTTCATAGGCCTTCTTCAGTAATTCCACTTCGTCTGAGTGGCTAGCTTCAATTTCCAACTTCGAGGTTTCATGGGCAGCACTTAAGTTGTCAAACTGTAAGAAAAAAACACAACAAAACAACAGTTTACCAGTAGAATCAGAAGTCCTAAGTTGAACAGTAAGTAGTAACAGTAGGAATCTTGACACATAAACTTGAATTCAAGTTGAAGGCCTACCTAACGCATGTCAAGACCAACCCCATCTGAATTTGCCACTCCCAGGCCTTCACTCTATCCCACTCAGGATCAGACACACAGCTCGCCAGGGCGCACTGACGGACATGGCGAATCCATCACAAGGAATGAGGGGGTGTGTCCCGGTAACAGGACACTGGCTCCACCCCTGCCATGGTGGCCTCTATATCCTCAGTCCCTAGCACATGGCGTATAGTAGGTACTCTAAATATTTGCTGAATGTTAAACAGATTTAAAAAGGGAACAAGGAAATTAAAGAGCAGCTTTTAATATACTAATAGGTGAAAATTATGGGTTATTAAACAAGGGCCATTTTTAAAAAAATAAAGAAATTCAACCCCAAATTTAGCAGCACAACAGAATGGTCACAAAGGGATTATTCCTAGGTAATAAGATAAAGGGTTGTTTTTAATTTTATCTTTTTCCTTCCCTTTTGCTCAACACATGTACATTGCTTTCATCATAAGAAAAAAATTAATTTAAAAACCCTTTTTGCCCTAGCTGGTTTGGCTCAGTGGATAGAGCGTCAGTCTGTGGACTGAAGGGTCCTAGGTTCAATTCCTGTCAAGGGCACATGCCTGGGTCACGGGCTCGATCCCCAGTAGGGGGCGTGCAGGAGGCAGCCAATCAATGATTCTCTCTCATCATTGATGTTTCTCTCTCTCCCTCTCCCTTCCTCTCTAAAATCAATAAAAAAAATTAAAAAAAAAACACCCTTTTCACATTTTTAAATAAATAAAAAGGAATATTCAACAAAGAGAAGTTCATAAAGGAAGTGGATCATCAAACAAATAAAATTCAAGTAAAGAGCCAAGGACATCCTGGTCCCTAACGCACAGACCTGCTCTTGCAGCTGAGTTTTGTACTTCTCTGCTTCTTCAATGTAAATGTTCTGGAGCTTCTCACACTCCTCGGTGTAGAACTCTTTGAGCCGATTCTCTAGCTCGGTGAGATCCGTCTGGTGCTGCTGGTTCAGCTTCTGGACAAATCCTTCATAAGCTGCTTGCAACTCATTCCTGGCTTTTTCTAATTTCTCACAGGCGGTCGAAGCAGTGACTGGAGATGAAAAAAGAGAAAGATGACATTTGACTTGTTCAATGTCCTAAATTCATAACATTCACACACAGCTGGGATATCTCAGTTCTTCAGTGACCAGATTTCAAACCTAATAGTACAGAATTAAACAGTGAAAAAGAGCCAGGTTCCCAGTGAAGATCACCCTTTTCCATGGTGACCAATCAGTGCAGGGCCCATAAGGAGAGGGGGCTCTGATTGGCCAGGTGTCTCTGAGGGCAGCCAAGTAGGGAGAAGCTAAGACCCAGAAGGGGCAGGGAAGACCAGAGAGAAGAACAAATGGATTTAGCTTGTACTTCATTTGAACTGATCTCAACTTATTTAAAAAATACAGCACTAAACAACAAAATATTAGACTATATTGAAAACAAATCACCAGAGCATACAAACTTTAGGAAAAAACACATTTTAAAAGCCATATAACGTAATATGACAATAATAATAATATACTGAAAGGTTAATAGTTTTAAAAAGGCAAAGTAATTTGATAAACATAAATTAAAATCAGAACATCCTACTCTTCACCAGAATTACCAACAGAATTACCAACAGTACATTGCAGAACTCACGCACAAATCCATACTCCCACTCACTATATAAGCCTGGAAGATCTCATTTCTCAGAAAGTTTGACTTCGGACTTTTCCAGCCTTCCTTCACTGATGGTAAATACAGATAAGTGGGATAACAGAAAATGGGGACTGGTGAATGTGTTAAATTAATCCTTACCTCTCTTTTTGTAAGGAATATATATATATATATGTATTAGGAGTTATGGAAGGAAAATGATGGTTTTAGGGTAGAGAAAATGATAGTTTAGCCCATCCAAATGCTCAAATCAGAACTAGAAAGCAGAAGAGCTTCTAGGCTGAAGCTCGCCACTGCCAGTGGGGTGAAGGGAGGACAGACAGACAGACAGGAGGGG